CCACTGTGGAAATCAGTGTGGAGATTCGTCAAAATAGAGGGAGTTAATCTATCACATCACTCAGCCATACCGCTCTTGGGCATATACCCCAAAGATCTCTACCATACTACAGAAAAAACTACCTGTTCATCCATGTTCATTGCTACACTTTCAGAATAGCCAGAAATTGGAAATAAACTAGGTGTTTATAAACTGATGAATGGATAATAAATGTGTGGTACATATACACAATGGGATATCATTCAGCTCGTATAAAAATAAAATTATTAATTTTGCAGATAAATGGATGGAACTGGAAACATCCTGAGTGAGTTAACCCTGACCCAGGAACACAAACAATGCATTTTCTCTCTCAGAACTTGAAGTCCTGGATATACATGTTTCAATTTGACAATGAAGAGAAGTCAGAAAATTAATACATGGCCATGGATTGGGGGAGGCTTCTTGGGAGAGGAGGGAGAATGCAGTGATACAAAGGGAGAGAAGGAAATGCTAAAGTAGGAAGGGTTACACTGGGTGGGGGATGAGAGGGCGGGGAGTGTGGGAGGGGTAACTGACACTAAACCATTTAGAAAAGCCATGTGGAAACCTACCACCACGGAACTAAAGGTAACAATCATAAAATACATAGGAAGACAAAAACCCACTGTGTAGACAAAGTGATCTTGAACTGAAAAGATCCAACCATGAAGTATTACAGACCCGGTTTTAAATGCAAGACAAAAACATAATAGTTAAAATAAATTGGTGTCGCCATCTAGCACATGTAGATGAATGGAACGTTGGAGAACCTAGAAAGGAACGCACCCATCTAGAGCCCATTAATTTTCACTAGACAAACTGTGGCTGGCACTGCAGAAAAACAAACAAAAGTCTTTTCAGTAAATGGTGCTGGGAAACTTGTGCATTCATATGTAGAAGAATTCAAATAGACCTGGTCTTTTACATGGAACGTAAATAAACTGTAAAGTAACTGAACACTTGGATGAATCTAGAAAAATAGTTTCCAATAGGGAACATGCTGCTTACTGACTTGCTCCTCTGGTCTGTGTTCAGTCTGCTTTCTTATATAACCCAACACCACCTGCCCAGGGGTGGCACCCCCTACAGTGGTCTCCACCCTCCCATATAACTGACGATCAAGAAAATGCTTCACAGACATGACCACAGGTCAGTTCAATAGAGGAAGTTCTCCAGTTCCAGGCTGTGTCAACTGAAATGAAGTGATTCAGCCTTTCATGGGCATGGTGTGAGAGGCATTTGCAGTGTGTGGGTGTGACTTGAGGAGACATTTGTCTTACATGCCAAGGTGAAAGGAGGCAGTTGCTTTATATGAGAATGGACTTTATGTGAGAATGGACTTTATATGAGAATGGACTGAGCAAGTATTCCTTTACATGGTTATGTTGTAAACAATTACTTGTGTTATACAGACATGCTGTGGGGAGATCTTATAAGAAGGAATATATTTTCTAGGGGTATCGTGAAAAGAGATGTTTGCCTTATATGCCATCCTCTTATAAGTTAGCACCCATGTGTATGATCAGTTGATCAACTACTCTGGCTGATGAAGACTCAGTTATCTGTTCCATGAAAATTCTTTTAAATTTATTGGTAATTTGTTCATATACTAAGTTAAGATGTAGTATGCAATACAGAGAGGAAAGTCAGAGAAAAATTTTTTCTCCTAAGTCTAGAAACATGCTATACTTATCAGCTTAATACGTTTTTTATTTTATTCCTAAGGACAACTTAGTGAAAGACGTGTTTTTAATGTCATAGAAATATACTGTAAAGTTTCAAAACGTGAGTATAGGAATGACTTTTATAAAATAAACAAAATCTGGAGTAATGACACTTAATGGACAAACTCACTGAACCAAACGCTATTGAGACCTGGGTCCTTATTTCCTAGGAGTCTCAATTTGCTACTGGACCCTGAGATACAGAATGAATGTGGGTGTACTTGAGAATTAACATATCAAAATTCTGAAAGGTAGCACATGCATCTACACTGACTATAGTGCAGACTGGGAAGGATGCTGCATTGAGCACATGAGACGTTCCAGAACTAGTGATGACAAGGGAGGATGAAAAGGATGCATTCAAGTTTGTAGTTCCTCAGTTGAAGCTGAAGAAATGTTTTGAATAGAACAATGGAGGAGGCCCAACTCAGCAGACAGTTCCAGGGCATCCTTCCAAGAGACATCCAGGTGAAAGGGGGGTCCACACCTGAGGATCGATGACTGTGTCATAATAAAGGATAAGTCCTTGGGTCAGATAGAGTACAGAGGTTGAAGAAGAAGTACAAACATCAAGTCAGGCTCTGGATGGGACAAACTCCTAGCAAGTTAGAATGACTTCTGGGTTCAAGGTTAAAGACAAAATAGCTCCGATAAGAAAGCAAAATTCCGCACAGCATGTGGAATAATAAAGCAAATGTATCATACCACATAGGGTTAATTATCTACCAGAGAGAGTCAACACAAACATGTATCCCCAGTGAGTGAATCTCAGTTGGGGCCCAGGGTATCAGCAAATAAAATATATTTGGGGAGAAAATTTTAAAGCCTAAAATACATAATATTGTAAAAATAGTCATTACCTAATAAAGTCAACTGAAGAATCACTCCAAAAACTTCTAAATCTTTTAATTGTGTTGGCTAAACATGATATTTTTAAAAAACATCTTAAACAGTGAGAAAATTAAGACAGCGATTAGTCAATTTTCAATTAATATGTTCTGCAGTAAGTAATAATACCAACTTTCTTCTATTGGGTAAATCAATACATAGTAGATAATTTTTAAGAGTCAGTCACAATTAATATTGAACAAAGCAGATCGCAGATCCAGAGACTAGAACAGCAGAGATGTTATCTTTTAGTCTCCCTGAACCATTTACAATCCCCAGATTATAGCATCATGCTAAAAGGTAATTATATTCTTATTTATTGTGAAAGTAAAATTCGAAAAGGATTTTAAATATATGTTAATAGATAATGGCAAGCTTTAATTGAGAGTGTAAGCAAGGATCTTAAAACATGTTCAATTCAATATTCCTGTTTTGGGTGGAGGCAGAAAATCCAATCTGATTTCTGGATGTCAGGTGTTCTGGATGTCAGCTGTTCTGGATGATGTCGGCTGTTCTGGATGATGTCGGCTGTTCTGGATGATGTCAGCTGTTCTGGATGATGTCAGCTGTTCTGGATGTCAGCTGTTCTGGATGATGTCAGCTGTTCTGTTGTGTGCTTGTCTCTCCTTCCTGTCCTTCTTGGAATTATGAAGTGCTTGGCTATGTGAAAATGAAAACTTATCTGGAGAAATAAATAAGCATTATTGCGCCCCCAAGTCCCATTTGATTGTGAACTTTGAGACTATGTCAATTTTTTTCTGCAGTTGTCTTCTAAAATAATTTACAAATATTATCATCATATGAAATAATATTGCTATAAATAATAGCGTTTAGTTGCACATTACTTTCTTTCCCTCCAAATTATCAAATAATAATCTGAATATCGGGAAACTCCAGAAAAATCTAATGTACAATTTATGGCTAAAATGTTAAATATCTTTGAATTATGTGTGAATTACAAATGAGGCATACATTATATTATGAGTGTAAGGAGGTATCATGGTCTCATATATGAGCAGCCCTTGCAGTTTGAGTTTGGTTGACCAGGTAAACACATTCAACAAAATTTCATTTGCACCTGGTTTCACTGTACACATCTCCAGTTTTGTTTTCTATCACCATCCTGTTTGGGCGGAGATAAATTCACTTCTCTACATCACTCAGTTATTCAAATCCAAAACCTTAATCTTTGGCTTTCTTATTTACCATAATCAAGCCTTTTTATTAAAAAAAAGGAAAAAGAAAACAGCCCTGCCATTGTTAAAGTTTATTTTCTTGTCAATTGTACATATGAGTATGTATCTGTAGGTGATACATAAGAAGAGGGCGTGGGGTACCAGATCCCTGGAGCTGGAAGTTGTAAGCCACGCGATGTGCTGCCTGATCCAAGCCACAGTCCTCAGCAAGAGCAGCATGTGCTCCTAACTGCTGAGCCACCTCTCCAGCCTGGACTCCTCCTACCATACCTTTCCCACAGCTGTCACTCAGACGCCATGCTTCCATACCTATTTGAAACAGCTTCCTAGGACAGCAGGTGCTATTCCTCCTGCTTCTCCTTCTCTTATCCACTGCTTTGCAGCCCTTTTCCCACCTCCTCTCAGGAGTCAGAGAGGGTTTGAAAAGTGTCCCCCTGGCTCTTCTCAGCCCTGACCCTCTCTAGCTCACATAAGATGCTTTTGCTCCTGTCTCCTTCCTCCCCTCTCTTTCTTTCATTCATTCTTCCTCCCTCCCTCCCTCCCTCCCTCCCTCCCTCCCTCGTTCCTTCCTTCCTTCTTTCCCACTCACTTAATCTATAATCCTTTGACTATGTTTCCGGATTTTACCCCATCAGGAGGGCAACTCCTGAAAAACATTGAATTTTCATTTTTTGGTTAGAACAATGTCTGATCTAAAGTGATCCTCAAGCAATATTTAATGACCAACCAGTGGAAAATAAACTTCAGGTGTCTCCAAACCAAGAATTCGGCACAGATCGATATGATTAAGCCCACTTCTCTCATGTTTTCTGCTGTAGTATAGGATACTGTACCTCTCATAGGTTTGGATCAATTTTATCTATTATTTTGATTGAGGACAAGAATTTATCTATTTTGCAGCTTTTGTGTTATTACAATGTTGAGTTCACTTATGTTTGATACACTCTGGAACGGAAAGAAAAATGAATGAATAATGTTGAGCATCTCTAAGAACTCTTCCCACAATCATTAAACACAACAAAACTTTGACTATAATATACAGAATTACATGTATAAGTAGGTAAGGTATGTGTGGCCTGTAATGTACTGAGAACTTACTGGAGCCTTTGTTATTTGAGCTCTGTTAGTTAAATGATCTGTGTCATTCAACAACTGTGTTCTCTGTTTTCAGAGATCATCTACAGCTGGGTGTTTAACGAGTTCCCTTCCTTTGTGGCGGAAGACAGCCGGCGGTTCATTTCCCAGGAGACGGGAAACCTTTACATTTCTAAAGTGCAAACATCAGATGTTGGTAGCTATATTTGTCTGGTGAAAAACACAGTGACGAATGCTCGAGTGCTCAGTCCTCCAACGCCGCTCACCCTGAGAAATGACGGTAAGTTGCCTGGCACACATCAAGTGGGCCACATCTCAAAAACAATGAAGCGCTGATGGTTTTCTAAGCATTAACCTTAATACAAATAAAACGATAGGCACCCACCATATTTATGAATTCATCTTTTTAATCTGAGTTTAGGAGTCTTTGCATGCCTCTGAGTGAGGAGAGTGACCTGAACGGTGGCGAGCTGGCTCAGCTGATAAAAGGCACCCTGCGCAAGCGTGGGGAACTGAATTCAGATCTCCAGCACCTATTTGCAATGCCAGGAGTGGTACACCTTTAATCCAAAGGGCTGGGAAGGAAGAATGGGAGGAATCCTGGTGCTTGCTGTCCTGTCAACACACACGTGCATGCACACACACGCATGCATGTGCACACACACGTGCATGCACACACACGCATGCATGTGCACACACACGCGCACACGTGCACCACCATCAACACACAATGGTGACACGCGAAGGGGATAACTCATGGAGAGACACTGGATGGAGCTACTCAGATGATAGAATGGAGAATCGGGACAGGAGGCCACACGTACCGTAGCGTTCTCCTCCGACTCTCAGCGCCTCTGGAGCATATGAACTGTACATATTTTCTGGGTTCAGCTTCCACTGAATTTGTAGTTCACCTGTCTTCAAATTGAGTATTCAGCTTTTAATACTTCATGGTACAGTTATAATTGTTATTGCATTTCCAATAATAAGAACAGTTGTAACTAACTTTTGAGTGCAGTTCAGGCAGATTTGATGATGCTGTCATTACAGATATTGTCATATAACTGCAGAATCTTCACATTTAAACACCTCATTTGTATTTATAGACATTTATAGGCATTGCATTAAAGAAGTCAAATGCTCTATTACAGTTGATATATGGTATGCAGATTGCTCTGCGGTGCAACAAAACTTATCTATGAAATTTATGGAGGTTTATCAAGAAATGAACTTGACAATGCGTGCTGTGATAGACTTCGAAGGTTTTTTTCAAAGTGCATTTAACACTGATACTCCTCTCCTGTGTGCTCTTTTTTTGGTGAAACAGCCTCATGTAGCTGAGGTTGGCCATACACGCCTATACCTCCACCTCTACCTGTCAAGTATTATAAGCATGTACCACATTCCCAGGTTTTTATATACATTTTTGTAAAATATATACTGCTTAATTTTGCTAATACCAAGATTTTTGCTTATCAGCATGTATGTTTCCATGTATATGTTATATTTAAACTATGAAATCTGTAATAACTCTAATATCAAAATCAAGAAATTGAGAACTTTATGTTGCATGTAATAGTAATGACCTTACTAGATTCATTACTAGTGAAATACACATTGGAGACATGAGGAACCCAGTGTTACAGCAGAACAAATGCAGAGGTAGGAACAACGGACAGTAAACAGGAAACATGGCTGGGAATTAAGGGGTGGAGTTACCAGGATGAAGTAATTAATTGGCTCTGGGGCTCAGGATCATATAGACTGATATGTACAATAATTTCAAGGCATTGTCAAAAGTAGTTGGATGGCTGCTTTGCTTCACCTTAGAAGATGACACAGGCAGAGGGACAGATTATGAAGTGCGGGGTGTGAGAAGATCACCTCGGGGATGTAATGAAATGAACTGGACATGAATGCCATGTGGAATCCATATGCTGCATCAGCCCATCACATACACTGATATCTGATGTTCAGCTAGGCTATGCAGAGAGATTTGAGAGGTAATATGTGTTATAGATAAGAGGTATATGTACCAATTTCAAGGCTACATAAGATTATGTATAGATAGAAAACAAGCAACAGAAAACAGAAAAACAGATAATGCGTGTTTCAAACGGAGGTAATTCTGAGAAGCCATTCCCATAAATTATCTGAAAACCTCCTCATTGATTCTTGAAGAATGCAAGACATCCTTATCTGAAAGTTTGAACATTCTGTGATTCTACCATAATTAGTTCTGTTTGCACCACCTAAAATATGAAATTCCTTGCACTTGGATAATATCCAATATTAACAATGTCTTCATTCACCATACATAAACAAGACTGAGCACCACGAGGTAGGACAACACATGTACACTCAGCGCATAACAGCTAACATACCTCCAGTAGAAATCCAGTCTCTCTCTAATGTACTGACCACTTGCAGTTTTATTTCATGAGCATCTCTGAACTTTACCCTTCACCTGCTATGTTGAAATATTCCATAATCCTTTTATAAAATTTTATTTTATTATTATTTTTATGTGTATCAGTATATAGTCTGCATGTGTGTAACCTGTCTCTCCAGCCCCAGAAATATTCCATAATCCTTTGTTGGTGTATAACCCCCTTCCCCCGTCTGATGCATTTATTTGCTATTGATTTATTTGTTTATTCATTCATTCATTTATGCAAGTGATCAATCCCAGTGATCTCAAGTCCATACCCCGTGGCTATCTGAAGAAGAGATGCTTACAGGTTAGCTCCAGCATAGATTCATGACCACAGATGTCAAGATAGGGCTCCAGTGTTATCACTTAATCCTGTGAAGTTTCCTTGGGTCGTTCACTCTACTACTTGTCCTAGTGTTTGTGGAAGTCACTGTGGTTTCCTTTGACTAGGTTAACCCATCACTGCCACTTCAGGGAACTATATAACCCATCAAATTCATCTTCCTATTGATAAAACTCAACTCTAACTACATCTCCATTGTTACTATTAGGTCTGAATCCCACTCATTTCTATTGATATTACACTGCCAGTCATTTTGGTAGAGCCAGTATCCATGATGTTTGATTTCAATTCCCTCTGACTTTTTTCATAAAATTGTACCAGAACTATTAAACATAAATAATTCAAATCATCAAAACAATTGAATTACTCCAGCTGTCAATAGTGTTGAGTTTTATCAATAATTTATATTTTCAACCAATAATTTAAGAAGTACTACAAGGGACTCTAGATAGGCTGACGAGACTTAGAAGATGGACTTGCACTGAGGAACGGCTCAGGGCACTGACAACACAGTGGACAGTAATGGGCTCTGGGGAGGGGGAGGGGAAGGGCTATGGGAGGGTGCCATTTGGGATGCGGGTATAAAAATGAATAAGATTGTTTGGAATGTTTTGTATGAAATACACAAAAATATCAATAAAAATAAATTTAAATTTAAAAGAAAGAAGTACAACACTATAGGCTTGCACAGCCAATGCTGCATAAATAGCTAAAATGAAATTGTTACTTTCTTTTTAACATTAACTGACAAGA